CTAGAGTTATCTCTAGACGAGCCATACTATTACGGTTTGTTTCCTCGATCTTTTTTTGGATCGAGTTTATCGTGTTTATTATGCACGATTCCTGGTTTTCCAGGAGGAAGTTTGGTTGGGTGAGCAGTGACTCTCCCCAGTTGACATTGCCGCTTCTGGGGGTTCCAGAATGGGTTCTTGGAGTGAACACTCCATGCTCGCTTTGTTTAGGTGAGGCCGTTGCGGAGGGTGCTTCCCTTCCATAGAGGGGTCTGTTCGCTGGTTTTTCCTTACTTTTACATAAGGCTTCCTCAGCGAACTCCCTCATTTCAGTTCGCCTCCTCTTCATTATCTTGGAGACCTCCTCCAAGGTTGGCGACCTTGCCTTGTCTGGCATGGTGTGTGGGAGTGTAAATAGCGGAAGTTCTTTTGGAGCTTCCACACTCTGGGAGATCCTGCTCTCAGGGGGTATCTTCGCACCTTCTCGGGCTTTCAGCCTGGGAAGAAGTTGGTCTTCGCTTTCTGTCCTCCATTCAGACGGATCCTGGAACACGTCCAGTAGTTTTTCGGATAGCTGACGTGGGGGCTCTTCCCTTTGTTTCCCTTTGTCTGCCTTTGGGGCTTGACTTGGGGACGTGAGGGGGGACTCCAGGGGATAGTGGGGCCCTGGAGTTTCCTGCAACTCTATCTGATCAGCTTTTTGGGCTGATCATTCAGCGCTTATGCATTTATTGCGCAAGTCGATCATGTTATAGGAATGGACCTAGAATCTTATGGTCCGTGACTATGAACAATCAAGCCTTTGGTCCCTTCACCTTTATTTCACTGTCAAACCCCATGCCAAGCTTTCCCACTGGGTTTTGGTGCTGGCTGGGGAATTTGTTGAGTTTCAAGGGACTTCCCTTGACCATTGTGACTTTTATATTAGATAGTTAGAAGTCATATGATGTGTAAGGCAGTCTTTCCTTATCTAATACATAACCCACAAAACCTTGTACCCGTGATTGTAACTGCCACACCATTGTGCCACCACTGTAAGCCTTCTCTGTAACATCTGAATTGGTCCATATCGATGTCTACATCGATATTCTTACAATCTGTGAGAAAACCTCATCGGCCCGGTGAGTGCTCAGACACCGGACCTCACTCTTCCCACTCCCACCCCCCCACTGGGTGGTTGAGCTCCTATTCCTATCCTTCCTGTAGTACCCTACTGGGTCCTACAACCCTTCCTCCCTTCTTGGGAGGGAGAAGTGACCCAGGCAGCCCCAGGATGCCTGGCCACGTACCCGCAGGCCCAAATTCCCACGGTCACTCACTACCATGCACTGGTCAACCAACCTGTCTGTCCCAACAAGTCCCGCTACCGGTACGCTCCCTTGAGCGCCAAGTAACCGATAGACAACCACTGGGCTACTCCCTCAAGGAGTGCCAACTGCCCACGCTACCGGTATGCTCACATGAGCGCCAAGTCACCACTAGCCAACTGTTAGATGGCTCCCTCAAGGAGTCCCCATTATACCTGCTGCCGGTACGCTCCTTGGAGCGCCAAGTTGCCACTAGCCAACTGTTAGGTGGCTCCCTCAAGGAGCCCCCATTATACCCGCTGCCGGTATGCTCCTCGGAGCGCCAAGTTACCGTTAGTACACCTGGTCTCAGATCTCCTGCTCTCCCTTCAATGGCTATGCAGCCACCTCTGTCCGTGAGCAGAATGGCTCAGGTTGGGTTCCCCGGAACCCATTCCTGTAACATCCAGGTTGGAGTTGGCTAGCCTGTTCATTGTGAATTCCCAGCTTTGCAGGGCAGCTAGTGACTTCTGGTTGTAAATATTAACTAGTCTGGTTGGGGGGTGGTTTGTACCGCATCTCTTGACCTCTAATATCATGTAGTCAAGGTCCAATGCTAGGTCACTTCTGAGTGTAAGGTCGATTTGTGTGCTCTGGCAGATATATGCCAGGCACCTTGGCTGTTTGCCAGTGTTGATTGGGAGTTTGGGCAGTACTGTTTGCCATTCCTTTAGGGTGACTGATGCATACGTCCTGTTGATCTTTTCCCACCACAGTTCCTGTATCAGCAGGATGTCCATTCTTGGGTTCCTGCATTTTACTATTGTTTGCATTACAGCTTGCATGGCTTCATTGGAATGGTTCACGTTTATGCTACAAACTGTAAGGGCAATTGGTAGTTTGGGCTTATAGGTCATTGAGGTGGGATTGGGGGGAGGGCATCTCTTTCATATCCATCTGTTCTTCCTCTGATTTTGATGGCATGGAGGGGTGGACATAGTGGGTGGGCTTTAGATTTGAGTTCACCAGTCTTGCTGTGGATGCCCTTTGGGCTTCCCATGACTGGTTCTGGGTTAGGATGCAGCTCACATCATCACCCATTAGGCCGATGTTAACTGAGGCTTCACCCTCTCATTCAGTCAGGTTTGGGTGCTTCTCCTTACCTTTTCTCTTATTTTTCTGCCTGGGTTGCAGTGGTTGCAGGGTTGATGTGGCAGGCATAGGTGTGGGCATGAGGTTCTTTGGGATGGGTTTGAGGCCCATCCTGTTCCTCCTGGCATTGCATTCCTTGTGTGCACTTCTTTGCAGTTGATGCATTGTAGTCGTGCATCAGGTGGGTGTTGTGGTGTGGTCTTTCAAACTGCATTTGAAGCATCGTGATTGTCTGCAGTTCTGCATGCGATGCGAGAACATGCCACATTTACTGCAAGCGTGGACTTGGATGCATTCCTCATACAGGGTGATGGTGCATCTGTAGTTAAATAAAAAGATGGCTTGGAGTGCTGAAGGAGCAGAGCTGGATCACCTTATGTAACCAGTTTCCTATGTCCAATAACCATATTAGAGTTTGTGCTGATTTGCATACTGACCATGTTTTGGTTGCCAAATATATAATTGTTCACTGTCTAAACAACAATAAACACCCCCCAACGATCTCACCTGACATATAGATCGTCTACAGGTGAAATTTCTATATTGACTTTACTATGATTTCTAGTCAATATTACACCTAGATATACCACTTTTCAGTAGGACATGATTCTCCTGATAATTTATTGAAAGAAAACTACTAATAAAATAATTCCGCAATGAATGTTACTCAATACAGGAGTAACCAAACTGCTCTTTCTATTGCTTAGAGTGCATGCTAGTTATCTAGCAGGTTCAGGATCGCTCACTTTTCTCCTGTGGTGTGATAACCAAGTATTGCTGAGAGATTATTCAATTAAGAAGTCCCTCCACCTATATTAGCTAAGAACTAATATTTGCTTTTATTTTTTGGAGCAAACAAACCAACCACTGGTGAGGAGAATTAAACTTATATTTCTACCTGAGGTTTGAGAGGGGGCAGAAGCGGCGGCCTTTTATGCTTTTCAGAGGCCTCTCTACTCCCATGCCTCGCACTAGTTACATGTGCTACATTTGTATTATAGATAGTTCTAGAATGATATAGGGGCTTGGGCTGTGTAAGCTTAATAATGGACTTAGGACATGACTCAGCAATAAGTAATTCAGTTCTTTGTCTTTTGGGCCGATCTTAGCAGGGTCTTGTAGCGCTAAAGCTATGCTCTACACCGCCTTAATTACAAACGGTTATATTTAGAAATGACTCGGCTATAAAGGAACTTTCTAGACTGTTCTCTAATTCACCCCTTTTTGTGAAGCCGCATCATTACTAATGTTCTAGAGCTTTCCCAATTAATTAACTAATCCGCGGACTTCTGAATCACTTTATGCTTATGATTCGAGATCCAGATTATCAATCATTCCTTTGTTCCGATTTATTTGAGCTTAAAATCAAAAGGTTTTGATGAATCATGGGAAAATATACATGATCCGGTTTTTTAGCATTTTCTCCTCTTCTGATGCGATCAAAAACTGCCCGCCCGCGCCAGGAAATACTCTGTCATATGGTATTTGGTCCCCCAGACTTCCGGGCGCCAATATATTTCCCTTGAGTCACATTACTTTTTGAGAGAATTAGCAAATGAATATATCTGAATTATAAGGTGTTTCGCCGTTTGAGCGATATCTCCGTCAGTTTTGAAGCTTTTAGAATGAAACAAAACCGTGGATAAAGTTTAGAAACAGTTCTTTTATATGGTAAAAAGATTACAGTCAAAAGTTCACTGGTTTCCGAGATATTCACATTTCTTTCCCAATGTTCCTTCTTATTCTGCCGTCTATGTGCTATTTTCTTGTTGTAGGGATATATTCTTTGAATATTACACCTATGCCAGGTTCTAGGCATGCTTGTAGTAGATTAAATCTCATGCTACATGGGTGTAGATAATTTATAATGATCTTCTAATGTCTGTCCAGTCTCATAAAGATCATGAGATCTGTTAAACATCTGAACTTGTCACCTGATTGTTGACCATTCTGATAGATCATTGTTTTATTCTTTGAATATTATTTCTCCTACAGCGCTAAGATAGCATCTCTGTCTTTCTTGCTAGCTAGGTCTAGTATGATTGAAGCGAAATTCTTAGCATATATGATTTCATCCAACCCAAGCCATTTGAGCAGGCCCCATTGTTTTAGCTCCCTGTATTGGGGGATGTAGGTCATCATCTCTTCGTGGATCATGCTGATTGGAATCAGGATGTTGTCGCAATGCATGGGGATCTTGTTTATCTTTGCCATATTTTTCCAAGTCCATGGCACAGCAAGTGGGGGCTGTTGTAATTTTGATGTTGCCTGCTAGGGAGTATCCGACTGCCATGACTCTCAGGTAGTGTGGAAGGTTCTTTGTGTCGAGCATGTTGTTGATTTTCTTGCGGGTCGCTAGGCTGTTTGGTCGTTGGTCTGGTGGGATTGGTGGATTGACGCATATGATAAGGATGTGAGGGTTTGTGGTGGGTGCCTGCATGTACATGGTTGTCATGTGGGGTCCAGGTCATGCTGTGTGTGCTGGCACAGCTGGAGGTGGGCTTGGCGCTATGCTCGCCCAGGATGTCTTGACCCAGTTGGTTTTGGTTGGGGGTGGGTTTTCCATTGGTGCCACCATCATGTTCAGGTCACATGTGTTGCAGTTATGGGGGAGGGTGGCTGGGCAGCCATGGTGGGTGTCTCTGTAGTTAGTAGTCTATCTGCCAAATATGCATTAGCTTCAGTCAGGCGGCTTATGTTAGATTCAACTGTTTTCAGTCGTTGTTCCAGTTCGCTGTCATGTGAAGGGGTGGGGAAGGTATCCAGGGTTGCCAGCCTTGGTAGCTTACTATACCATAGCGTGTACTCATCCAGGAAGTTCTCCCACAAGCCTGCAAGTCTAATGCCATTAAATCTGTCAGTTAGGTCATGCATTGCCTCGAACATGTCATAGACAGTCCTATGTGTCTGGTCTCCTTTCTCTGCTACAGGGCTTTCATTGGCATACCTCATGACATCGTCCTCTGTCCCAAGTCGCATCTGGGGTGTGGGTGTGAGGTGATGATGTTCAGCCAGTGGGGGTGTGTTGACTTCCCATTGGTCTGCTGGTGAGTCCGAGTCCGGGGTTGTTGGTCTGCCAGTCTGGATACTTTCGACCACCAGATGGCTGCTTGAGGTGGTCAGGTTAGGGAGGGGGATGGTGTACCTATTGTCGAATCTAGTTTTGGTCACATGGGTCTTTTTCACTGTGGTGTCCCAGGGATCTTGTTGATCTGGTTCGGACTGGCCCTTATAAGTTTGCACTGTTGCCACATGAGTTAAACTGGTGGTGCTGGTGAGGAGTGCCTGATCGTGTGTCGTATAATGCTCATTGGTTGATAGCATGTCGTGTGTTGTTTGAGCTAGTAGTCTTTTTGGTGCCGTCCATCCCACTGGGGTCAGGCTTTTTGTGATCATCCATTGATAGGAGATCGGGTGAGTGGGTGAGGATAGGGTTTTTTATGGGGGGTTGTGGTGTGTTTTTGTCAGAATGGCAGTTGTTCCTTAGGATAGGTCTGATCGCTATCCAGGTGACGCTGTCAGGTGGAGCTCGATGTTCCAGGTCATCCAACAGTGGGTCGGAGACAGACGAGAGGTGGGGTGGAGCTCCAAGGGTGACAGGGTGTTGAAGTGTCAGGGCACACCCACCTGACCCTACGCCGCACCCTGCGCCGTACCGCCCTACTCCGCTTCCCCGCTATCACCCTTTGTCTCCTCTCTCCCCCTTCCTTCTTTCTTCCTATTTCCTTCTATGGTCGACTTCCCTTTCTCTATGTATCACTAACACACCTAACCCCACTCCCCCGATCGCCGCGCCCGCCGCGTGCATTCCCGCTCACAGAGCGGCACACCTCCGGGATCTCCCACGGAGATACCCAGGGGAGTGCAGCTGTGTGTGGGGATGACGTGGCTCCTCCCACATGACCCTGACCGCATGTATATAATAGCACCTGGGGTGGGAACAGAAGAAGCAGCCTTCTTCTCAACTTCCCACTTCAGGTAAGTACTGTAGCTTCCCCCTTTTTAATGATAACCAACTTCCCACTTCAGCCTAAGTGGTCGGGGACGCTCACCCCGCGACGGGACCGCCGCTACGCATAGCTGACACTTGTCCCATCGAGTCCCTCGCGCCGGGACCTCACCACTTTCGGAGCTGTCCCTGACATGAAGGGACTCAGCTTCAGCGACTCGGAATGGAGCACTGTGCCCGGTATGTTCTTGTTGTCCCCAATTTGCCAGGGGAGCTGGCAATGGAGGAACCAAGGCCGCCAGCAGAAGGGGGGTGGAAGCCCCCCCGTCACTACTTAACGAAGGAGGCATCAGCGAGGGTCAATCGTTTGTCATGCAATTCTTTTTGGGTGTTATACCAAGGCGTCTCTAGGAGTGCCTGTTACTCAGTTCTTTGGAGCAGCAGACAAGCGGAATGCAATAGACATTGTTATGGGGATGGGGGAAATTCCCCATTCCTCAATCCGTTCTTATAGTGGGATGACGAGGGTCATGTCTAGTCTGTACCATAACGGGATATGTAATCGATGAGTGATCCCAGTCTTGCCTGGGAGCGGACGATCGAATTCCCATCGATTGCGGTTGGTGATGTAGTGAGCCATTAAGGGATTGATGATAGGTAGTTGGAGATACCAGGACAGACGGGTCAGCCACAGATACTTGGCGCTCCTCAATGGAGCATACCATGTGCGAGGTCGCGACTTGTGAGATGGGTGAGAACTTCGTATAGTTGCCATCGGGTACTTGGCGTTCGCAGTGTGAACGTACCGGTAGCGGGTTGATATCATAGCCGTGCAATGAGGACTGACTAATAGGGCCTTCGGTGACTTGGCATTCCCAAAGGGAACGTACCGTTGGTGGGGAAACATGATGACTGGCGAAGGAAGAAACAGATGGTGGATGGGTGGCTACTTGGCGTTCGCATAGCGAACGTGCCAGCATCACGGGTAAGCGGGCCTCAGAGTATTCACGATCTCCATGATCGTGATGGGACGTTGTGTGTCAAGTACTGGGGGGAGAGCGTAGTGATGAGGACCCATAGGGTACAGATTCCATAGGACGAAATACATGTCGAGAGTCTTCGACTCGTGACCTCGAGTTCTCACGGCGAGGGCCGTTAGAGGACTCGATATAACCAGACATATAAGACATATTGAGAGCTGTACAATCACATGGGTTCAGTTGAGTCACAGGGAGGGTTGTTACAGAAGACGGTACACGAGACAGTTGTAGAGCAGTTGTTCATTAGCAGGAACCGCCTTTGGCGGTTTCCGTACAAGATGTGTGACTATCTACAAATGGTAAGGTCGCGGGAAATCCCGCGAAACACAAATAACCTTGGCCAGCACCAAAACCCCAGTTGGGGAAAGCTTTGCACGAGGGGGGGGAAAGGGGTAGAACGGGTAAGGAGGATAGGGTATCGGGATAGAGGATGGAAGGGAGAAAGAGGGGAGGAACGATAGAGAGGAGAAGTCTTTGACCATGTGACGGATATGGTCGTTGGAGACTCCGTATCCGTAACAGACATCCTGGAGGAGGTTTTGGAGGGCTGAAGACTGTTTATATTATAACTGGGGGGATTATTTACTAGAAGGGTACATGGGTACATATAGTAGAAACAATTGGATCTGAAGGTAAACAAAGGTTACCAAGGGGAAGCAGAAGTAAATAGAGAAGAATCCACAAGACAAATAAGAATAGGCGAAAAGCACAAATTACGTCTGAGGTTTGTGGAGTGAGAGAATTAAAACCCAACTGAATGGTAAGGTCTGGAAGCATCTATGAACAAGCAGGGAACTACAGAAAAAGATGTCTGGAAAGGTCTGGAACCCGGAAGTTGTAGTCCGGAAGATTGGGGTTATAGAAAATATCAAATGATAAAACAATAAGATTATCAAGACCGGAGGTAAGATAGGAATGAGGAAGTACTGGAGGTAAGGAGGTACCGGAGGTGTGGAGACTGGAAGCAGGAAGGAGGGTGGATAGGCAAGTTGAGATTTATCAACAACGAGCAAGCCCAACTCCTTTGAACAAGGTGTCTGAGGAGGTGGAGGTATGGTGGTGATGCAGACATAGATGGGTAGCAGAGTCAGAGAGAGTCGGAGGAGGTAGTCCTAGTGTCATATCCCAGAATCCAATGTCACCTTCCTTCCCAACTGTCTCAGCTCCAGCCTGGATCTTGGCACACTTGACCTTGGCCACTCCCATCCTGGAAGCTTGGCCCCAAGTCAGAACATTCAGAGACTCCAGATCTGCTCCAATCTCCCAACGGATCTCCAACATCTTGTAACGTACCTCTAAACCATTCCTCCTCTCATTTCATTTAGTGGAGTCACCCAACATCCTTCGGATATGTAACTCTGGCTTCAGAGCTACCCACATCCTCTGGTGATCCCGCTCACGTCCTCATAAATTAGTCACCATCCATTTGTAGTACAACTGTTGTCTTCTTTCCACCATTTCTTGTTCCCATTCATCCTCTGGCCTTCTACTCTGCCCTCCTCAACCTGACACCTCGGTTACCCGTTAAGGATATCGTTCAGGACCATTCAGTACCATTTGGTATCATTCGGCACCTTTCGGTGTTTGTCAGTATCACTCAGACTTTGTCATATCCATACAATCCCAACCTCCACTCCAGGCTCCCGGAACTCCGAAACTGACTCTGGAGCCCTACTTCCCTTCCATCTCCTTCTCCTTGCCAACTCCCAAGAGGTTATCCCACCTCCAGCTCCAACACCACCTTTGGTCCGACTCCGGAACATTCTGGGTCTGACCCCAACCTCGACACCTTCCAGACAAGTATGCAACGCCTATGCTCCTGACTCCGGACCTCCACTCCAGAATCCCATTTGTGTCTCTGTCTCCGGAACCTTTGGTCTTAGCTCCGACCTCGGACTTTGACCCCACCTCCGCTTATACCCATTGTATTGGTTAGCTCATTCCATTTAATTATGTTTGCCAATCTTCCAGAGTTTAACTTCCAAGTTCGGACTTTCTGGACTTACGTCGGACCTTGCAACTATTGCATTGCTCCATTCAGTTCCGCTATTCTCCCTCATTCCTATTTGGGCTGCTGCTTCCTTTCTATTCAGTCAGCTGGCCATTCCCCACTCCCATCCTCCTTCCTTCCTCCTTGGGCCTTGGCCCTTCACTCCTCCTTTGGGAAACACCATATTCTGGACCCCTCCTTATATACAATGTACATAGTAACTTGTAACCTCAGTCCGAAATCGACTTGATTTCCCCCCAAGAGACTTTCCTTTGCTAGATCCGAAATTAGGGACCCCTAGGACAACCAGCAATGGCACAGCGCTCCACATGAGTTGCTGAGGCCAAGGTCCTTCCACGCTAAGTCTCCGATTCCATTCCGGAGTCATCCGAATCCGCCTGATCTAACAGACTTTGACTAAAGTCCTTCTCTTCCCTATATATACCTGTAGATTAGAACCCTTTGTACCTCAGTTCTAATCTCAACTAAAAGTTACCCCAAGTCCCTCTATGAGTGAATCCCAACCCCTTCCTACAAGATACCTCAGACACATGAAATAAAAGGACTAACTGAGACATAATGGAGGCACAGCGCTCCCTCCAAGTTGCTGAGGCCACGTCCTTCTTAGAGCCTCTTGTACCACCCAGCAGACCTGGGCTTCCTGGAGAAGCTTTGGTCCACTACTGGAACTCTCGGATCCCCTAGTTGAACCCCGCCTGCATTCAGACTCATGCACTTTACCCTTGTTCAGGGTTTTTGACACCTAGGGTCATTGGCATTGACCGGAGGCAGCAGAGAGATTGGGAGGACTGGTGGAGGTCATAGGAGTCATGTAATGATAGGATGGAAGGAGGCAGAAGATCTGGGATATGACAGTTTTGATCTCTAGATGTTAGCCCTCTCTTTCCGAGGTGGTGTCACATGTAAATGTTGAAGGTACAGTCTGTGTCAGAGACTGGATTCAGGACAAATGAAAACCTCTCTTTGTTCAGAGGGCTACAGCCTCAGTGACTCTACCAGGAGCGCTGTGCCCAGTATCACATTGGTGCCCTAATTTACGGACTGAGGGGACTTCTAGAAGAGGGGGATTAACTCTAGTTGATTTGTTCACTAAGGTGTATGGTAACTACAAGTTATGTATTTATAGATACAGAGGGAGTCTAGATGGTGGGCCCATAAATGGCAGGGGCTGGATGGAGCTGACCTAACAGGGTCAAGGGTTAGCTGACTGAGTACTACTGATGACTTGGGTTACAGGGTTAATGGGTTATAACCCAGAAGTGGAATGGAGGGATCAGTCTGAAGGTGGACTTGCAGGGTAGGCAACTAAATGACCCAGTGGAGGTGGGGGTGTGCTTGCAGACATCAGAGCTGTCTGGAGTCCTTCAGGGTTCCATACTTAGGGAGGTGTAGGTAATATATTGAAATGGGTGGGTGGTGACCATTGGGGAAGTTGGAGAAGATTGCAGGATTCAGTGGCTCCAAGGTTGGAGATGAAGGAGCAGGGGCAGTCCAGGATGGCCAGAGGTGATGGAAGTGGATGGATATGAAATAAACAAGTAACCACTGCTCTACCATCCATTCCTTACAGTCCCATTAGTCTTGAGCAACAGATGTGCACAAGGTGCTTTGGTAAAAAACCCAGTAGAATTGCATGATGAGCGATTGAACCTTGCTAATGCCTTCATCATTACATAAGTAGTAAGGGGGTGGCCTTCAGGCCCCCTCTCCTGGTAGCCTCAGTTCCTTCATCACCAGCCCCCCTGCCCAAATTGGGGACATGAGTAACATAACAGGTGCAGTGCTCTGTTCCAAGTTGCTGAAGCCGAGTCCCTTCAACACCCCTGGAACTCTGCTCCACCTCCAGTATGTCTCTGACACAGATGACCCAGAAGCTCAAGCTCCACACAACAACTTGACTGGGAAGTGTATGGACAGCCTTCCTGGTGGATCTGTATCTTTGGTCAACATGGTTGTGGGAGACTCTGTTCCTATAACATTACATCTCAGGCACTTGCTCAGGGCCAAGATATTCTGATGAAAACATAGGGTCTGTATAATAAATATGGAAGACTGTGGAACTGTACATTAATGATTGGGAGTAAGTCCAGTATTTTTGGAGTGTACACCTATGTCATGTAAATACTACATTATTTGAGATATGTATCATGGAACCATAGGACTAGCTGAGTAGCACAATTTCTCCACTTCTTGTCCATTCCATCATACCCCTTCTTCAGCCATGGGGCATAATACTTCTCCTCCTTAAGCCTGCTGTCCTTCAAATAATCTGCTATGCTGTTCATCATCTCTGTGTCACTAACAGTGAGCCAAACAATCTCAAAAACAATCCCTGCATATAAACATGGCTGACCAGGAACCTTGACACCATGTAGGGGTGCATCTGGGTTCAGAAGACATGTGTAGCAGTATCCAGTATCACCCTGGTTACAAAAATGTGCCTTTTTAAAAGCAAATGCCTCAGTCCCACCCTGTTTGTGTTTCACCCAGTGTTTACACTGATGTGTGTGATGGCTTCCATCCCTTGTCCCCATTACAAGGCAGCACAGACAGAGATCCTTCAACTGAGGAAGGATTTTCTCCAATTTTTGAGGTATTTTCTTGATCTCAAGTGCTCTCTTCTGCTGCAGTTTAGAGTTGATATCCATGGATGTTGATGTGTGCTGGAGTGAAACATGTGTGAGTGGTGGGGAAACTGGATTGACTGAATTGAAATTAGGGATAGGAGAGTGTGGAGCAGAGGAGCGTCCTTCTGTACGTTCCTCCTCATCGGAATCTGCAAGTTTTAAGTGAGATAGCCATATGAAGGATATGCAAACTTACCCCAAGGCTCTGCCCACAATTCCAAGTCCCCATCCTCATCCTCATCCTCATTCAGATGGAGCTTGGGGAAGCAAGCAGAACATGGTGCAACCCTCCTCTCCATGGTCCTCTGCAAGTCTGAGCAAGTGACTGGATTTCCATCCATGTGATGTGATTGGAAGTACCTGAGACACTCTCCTGATGCATGCAACATGAGTCCAATGGCCTTCTTTCCACTAAATGACTCCTCAGCTTGGGGAAATGGCTTCTTTGCTGCTGAGGGGAGGAGTGTGATGCATGAAGAAAATTCGCCATCCCTGTCATATCCGTGCATACCAGAGTCCTACCTTACCGCTGTCCGTTCTGATACTCACCTTCGGTCCTGGCAACACACCTCCTCGTACCTCCCATGCCACCTCCACTCCTCCTTCCCTCTCCTCCCCTATCTCCGTCTGCTCTGATACTCACCTTGGACCGAACACCACCCCTCTCGCCACCCTCCTACTACTCCTCCGCTCCTCCCTCACAACACCTCCACCCTTCCATCCTCCTACGCTTCTCCCGTCCGCTCCGATACTCACCTTCGGACCTGACAACTCTCCTTTCTGCCACTCCTTCCCTCTTCCCTTTCTCCTCTCTCTCCCCTCTGGTACTCTTCCACCGACCTCCCACCAAGTTACGACCTTCCACCGCTGTCCCGTACTTCGTACTCGGGCACCGCTCGTACCTTTGCTCCGAGCCTCCGTCATAGTCCCTACCTCGGACTTTGACTCCACCTCAGTCTTAGTCCATTGCATTGGTGACCTCATACTATGTAAACACCATTGCCAATATTCCTCGGACTTTCAACCCCGCCTCCGTAAGCTCTGTGTCAGGGCAATAGCCCCAAACCCCAAGCCACATGTAAATTAGATACATATAGTCACGTGGGTAAGCGGGAACCTCCAGGTAACTGCTTACACACCACCGTAAAATACACATACTTGTATCACTTATGGCCTTGTGTGCTGAGCTACCCAAAGACCTCACACCTTTTTAAGTGTATGAGGTGTGTTTTACAACACAACCCACAACAACTATCTACTCTTAACATCTGACTCGGTAGCGCTTATGGCGCCTAAACACGCCCGCAAGGGTAAGGTCGCATCTGCAGCGACACTAAAAAGAAACGAGCAGTTCATTAAGAAACTGCAATCTCCCATGATGGGAGATTCAAACCAAAAGCCATCGTCAGACAACGACGAGGATCAACATGATCCAGCATTAGCAACCACCTCAGGGCTGGCCCCTGAAGGTTTTAGAAACTTATGTGGAGTAAGTGTGGGCCTAATACCCCCAGAACTCCACGACATACCGATCTAACCCAAGCTGGGGAAGATCCCTCACCGCCTCACGAGGTGATCTGTTACAGGAATGGGTTCCGGGGAACCCAACCTGAGCCATTCTGCTCACGGACAGAGGTGGCTGCATAGCCGTTGAAGGGAGAGCAGGAGATCTGAGACCAGGTGTACTAACGGTAACTTGGCGCTCCGAGGAGCGTACCGGCAGTGGGTATAATGGGGGCTCCTTGAGGGAGCCATCTAAGTTGGCTAGTGGTGACTTGGTGCTCATGTGAGCATACCGGTAGCGTGGGCAGTTGGCACTCCTTGAGGGAGTAGCCCAGTGGTTGTCTATCGGTTACTTGGCACTCAAGGGAGCATACCGGTAGTGGGACTTGTTGGGACAGACAGGTTGGTTGACCAGTGCATGGTAGTGAGTGACCGTGGGAATTTGGGCCCGCGGGTACGTGGCCAGGCATCCTGGGGCTGCCTGGGTCACTTCTCCCTCCCAAGAAGGGAGGAAGGGTTGTAGGACCCAGTAGGGTACTACAGGAAGGATAGGAATAGGAGCTCAACCACCCAGTGGGGGGGTGGGAGCGGGAAGAGTGAGGTCCGGTGTCTGAGCACTCACCAGGCCGATGAGGTTTTCTCACAGATTGTAAGAATATCGATGTAGACATCGATATGGACCAATTCAGATGTTACAGAGAAGGCTTACAGTGGTGGCACAATGGTGTGGCAGTTACAATTGTGGGTACAAGGTTTTGTGGGTTATGTATTAGATAAGGAAAGACATTTTTCGGCATCTGCCTTACACATCATATGACTTCTAACTATCTAATATAAAAGTCACAATGGTCAAGGGAAGTCCCTTGAAACTCAACAAATTCCCCAGCCAGCACCAAAACCCAGTGGGAAAGCTTGGCATGGGGTTTGACAGTGAAATAAAGGTGAAGGGACCAAAGGCTTGATTGTTCATAGTCATGGACCATAAGATTCTAGGTCCATTCCTATAACACTGGATATTGACATCCTCACCATCCTGATGGGAGACTGGAATATGCGACACCCAGACTGGGATGACCAAATACCCTACCCATGCAACTGCACAACTGAAACACTAGAATGGCTTGAAGGGAATACATTTGCACTATGTAGTGAACCAAATGTCCCAACACACACAGACAGCCAGGGTCACTCATCAGTCATTGACCTCACCTTTGCTAATGCAACAGCAATTGAGGCAGGTGTCCTAATGGGACACCATGTGGACACAGAAATTGGTTGTCTCTTGGACCACCATGCACTAGTTTTCCAAATAGGCCCACCCAGAGAAATGGTAGAGAACCTGTGTGAGGGGAGTGTCATATCCCGGAATCCCGGAATCCTGACCCCGCACTCTCCCACCACACCATACCTTCCTAACAACTTCACCATCCCCTACACCATGACTCCCCACTCCCCAAGTCACCTTCCTTCCTAACTGTCTCAGCCCCGGCCTGGTTGTGGCACACCAAACCTTGGCCACTCCCATCCCGGAAGCTCGGTCCCAAGTCGGAACATTTGGAGACTCCGGATTTGCTCCGATATCCCGATGGATCTCTGACATCCTGTGACATACCCCTAAACCATTCCCCCACCCATTTCATTTATTGGAATCACCCAACATCCCTCAAATACATAACTCTGCCTTTGGAGCTACCTGCATCCTTCGGTGACCCCACTCACGTCATCACTTACTAGTCACCTTCCATTTATAGCACGACTGTCTTCTTCTTTCCATTCAGTTGGCTAACCCCCTCTTACCTGTTTCTCGTTCCCATTCATCCTCCGGCCTCTTACCCCACCCTCCTTGACCCGACACCTCGGTTCCCTGTTAAAGGATATTGTTCGGGACCTTTCAGTACCTCTCGGTATCATTTGGCATCTTTCGGTGTTTTCTATTATCATCCGGACTTTGACTAAAGTCCTTTCCATTCCTCCATATAAATACCTGTAGATTAGAACCTGTAGTTTTCCCTAGTTCTAATCTCGACTAAAATGTTACCCCAAGTCCCTCTGAGTGAATCCCAACCCCGTTCTACAAGATACCTCAGACACAAGAAATACAAGGACTAACTGAGACATAATGGAGGCACAGCGCTCCCTCCGAGTCACTGAGGCCACATCCTTCTTAGAGCCTCTTGTACCATCCAGCAGAACTGGGCTTCCTGGAGAAGCTTCAGTTCACTACCAGAGCTCTTGGATCCCCTCTAGTTGAGCCCTGCCTGCATTTGGACTCACGCATTTTCCCCTATGTTCGGGGTTTTTGACAGGGAGTCTCAACTGGAAGCATGCATCAGAGGAGAAGTTCTCTGAAGCTCTAACAGCAACTGTTGAATCCAACAGAGATGCACACAATGTCCTAGTCTCCACACTACTCAATGGAAACTGCACCTCTGCATCCAATGAGGAACTGGATGAAGCCATGGCAACCATCCACAGCTACTTAGAGAAAGCAGCTGGCATTGCAGTCCCAGTCAGATGCCCCAGCAAAGCAGCAAAACCGTGGTGGATGGAGGAGCTCACGACTGCATACCATGAGCTTTGCAAAGCAAAAGAAGCACTCAAAGCATGGAGCTGGGACTTCCACCACCCTGCAACATACCTGGCAGACCAAGTCAAGTCACTCCAGAAAGAGGTACTTTCCCACATAAGGAAGACCAAACAGGAGTACTTCCGCAAAATCATGGAAGACACTACCCCCCAGAACATATGGCAACTGATGAAGTGGACGAAGTGCCACAGAACATATGTATCCCCACCAATATTTTGTGGGGAGAACAGGGCCCCTGTTAGAACGAGTGGATTCAGACGACTCTGGAGTGGAATCGGAGACTTAGTGTGGAAGGACCTTGGCCTCAGCGACTCAAGCGGAGCGCTGTGCCATTGCTGGTTGTCCTAGGGGTCCCTAATTTCGGATCTAGCAGAGGGAAAGTCTCTTGGGGGGAATTCAGGTCGATTTCGGACTGAGCCCAAAATGAATATGTACAAGCGCCGATATATATAATGGAGGGGGCAAAAGCACAAGGAAACAAAGGGGATCCGAATTGGAACGAAGACGTCCGAATGTGTCAGAGACCAGATTCAAGACAAGGGAGAGTCTCCGTGGCGGAGGGCTTTGGCCTCAGCGACTTATGCCAAGAGCGCTGTGCCTAGTGACATGTCTGTGCCCTAACTCACTGACTGGCAATCAGAACTGAAGGGGGGGTAACTCTAGTCGATTTTATTACTGGAGTGTAACCTATGTACAAGTTGGATATATATATGGTTACAGTGAAGATGGGTCCGCAATTGGCGGAGCCGAACAGAGCGGAGCTAATGGGGTTAAACATTAACCGACTGAATATTACCGACGAGTCGGGTCGTGGGGTTAGCGGAAAGGCAGGCGATAACCCAGAAACGGAAAGGAGGGATAGGCCCAAAGGTGGGCTCTGCAGGGCAGGCGAGTGTATTGCCCAGTGGAGATGGGAGTGCACTAGCGGACGTCGGAGCTGTCCGGAAGTCTTCAGGGCTCCGTACTTAGGGAGGCGTAGGTAATAAATTGAAAGGAGGGGGTGACCATCAAGGGGTACCGAGAGGATTGTGGAATACGGGAGCTCCGAGGTTAGTGAGGAAGGAGCGGAGGTAGACCGGAGGGATCGGAGGGACCGGAAGTTGATGGCCGGGGATGGATATGACAGTATCCCCTTCTTAGGCCTGAACCCTTGAAGGCCCAGAATTAGTAAGGTGAGGGGAGCTGTACTTACAGAAAAGAAAAAATGGGAAAATGAAAACGGAAGTGAGGAGTGGAGGGAAAAGGAGAAAT